AAATGAAATTACCCTAGAGGGGGTGAATATGATAATCAAACAAAATGTGCAACTAATAAAAATTTTATTCAATCCAAGACATAAAATATGACAATAAGTAAATATAAGAGAGAGAGAGAGAGAGAGAGAGAGAGAGAGAGAGAGAGAGAGAGAGAGAGAGAGAGAGAGGGTAAGAGATAGTTATCCAATGAAGACAGCGATATATTCACGAGGTTCAGCCACTCTCGACCTACGTTCCCGACCACCTCTCCCGATGGTAATCCACTACACAACGTGGTTTTGAATCCGGAACTTCTTACACAACGATCTCCTCGAGATCTAACTCTCCACACAAAGCCACTCAATACAAGATGAAGATAACAATCTCTGTTATAAGAATCTTATGGTAAGAATGAAGAGATTAACAATTGAAGCACAAGGATTGTGAGTATATGAAAGTGAAAACCAAAACTTGAGAATGAGTAAAAGATTTAAGCTTAGAAGTCTCAAAAACAAAATCTTAAGGTTTTTCTTAGCTATTTAACAGATGGGGCTTGAGGACTATATATAGTCTCTCAACCAAACCAGATATTTCAGATCAAATCTCTGCAAATCCCTTAAAACCTGATTATAGGTAAACTAGCCGTTATCTAGAAATTCGCTAACTAGTCGACTGATTTTTACGAACCAGTCGACTTACTAGAATGACTGAATTTGTACAAGCAGCTGATATAGCTATCGGTCGATTGATAATCATGGTCGTTCGACCACACAAAAATAGTTTTTAGATACTGTAAAATGACACACAGTTGGTTGACCGATGATTGCGGTTGATCGACTAATAGACTGAAAATTGATTTTCATTTTAAAATAGCTGAAACAACTTAAAACAAATTTAAGGAAACAAATTAAAACAAATTTGAGGCTTTGGAAAATACTTGAAATTATAATGTACTAAGGATAGAGAGTATTTTCTTTGAACAAATTTTTGTTTCAAAATGATTTTTGAAGAGTTTGATAAAAATGAATTTAGAAGTGTGTGTGTGTGTAATCCTCTAATGCTTCAAGAGTTATCAACTTTATTTCTTGCTATAATATAATCTAGAGAGAAATAAAAATGCAAATATCGCTTAAAAATGTATACAATGCTTGGGTATCGATATTTGCTAAGATTTATCGTTAATGAAGCTCTTCTTGAATATATGCTTGAAAGCTCTTCTTAAATAGATATTTACGTGAATTGATCTTTGAGATTTAAGGCTTCTTCGTCAACTTGCCTCCATCTCCATGAATATCATCGTAAAACGTAAATCCATCCATCCTCCTTTACATGGCACTATATTGCTTGATAGATATATACTACGTATGATCACTTGAGAAGCAATTAGTATCAATAATGGGGTTTATAAATCATCATCAAAACACGAGACCTAACAACTAGTACTACTATATAAAGAGAATTTGGACGTTAAAACTTTTAATTTTCTTTTTTTTCACTCTCAAATTTTGATAAATTCTAACTATGCAATTATCTTTAACTAATTTTTTATCAAATAAATATAACCTCTTATTAATTATGCACCTCCTCACCTTTCCTAATATTATAATTATCAATAATATTATATCCATTAATTGTTTAGAAATAATACATAAATAAATATACATAATTATTAGTAGTAACCAATTAAATTATTATAATAATTATTTATGAATTATAATAAAATGATTAAAATAATAGTATAAATATAGTAATATATTAATAAATACTATTAAGAATTATACTATAAGTCAAGGAGTAATAAAATAAATAGAATAAAATTTGAATCGCATAAATAGTGTAATTATTTTAATAATATAACATAAATTATGAATTACACTATTTATTTAATATTATATTAGTAAATAAATTCAGTGAAACAGAAAATTCAATGAAACAGAAAATTCAGTGAAACAGAAAATTTAGTGAAAGTTCATATATGCCAAAAGTTCATAAGCGTTTAGTGTAATTTACCTTATTAAATAATTATAATGAGAAGTAATTATTACAATATGTTGTAAGTATCAAGTGTAACTATTTAGGAAACATTAAGAAAAAGCTAGCAAATTAATGCAACTTAGTTAATTTAAAGTTAAGTTAACAACTTTTACCCTTTGTTTGGGAGTTAACTAAGGGAAAGGACAGAAAGTTAAATAATAGAAAGGAATGGTAGGAAATGAAAGTAAAAAGATAAAATATTGTTTGAGAGTTTAGTTAGTGGAACAGAAGTAAATTTGTTCTACCTTATTTGGGAGTTCTAATAAAGAGGAGGGAAGTAAAGTGAATATAGTCAAAGTTACATAAATACCATTGGATGAGAATGCATTTTGGCCATAGATTTTAGTCTGATAAGGGTATAGTTGTTTTTTTACATTGTAAAATATATATCAGTTTCCATTACTTCCTCTACCTCCCAAATTGGAGGGGAGAAAAATGGTGTTGCTGAATGCGAAACATCACCATATCCTCTCATAGGATTATCTTTGAACAGTCATGTCCCTACACTCATGAGCAAAATGGTGTTTCTGAACGCAAACATCATATCCTCGATAGTGCTCGATCAATGCTCATTTCTTACTCTGTTCCTCTTCGTTTTTGGGGCTGAGGCCATTCTCACCACGACTCATGCCATTAATATCACTCCATCTAGCTCTCTTGCCGGTGCTACTCCTTATAGTCATGTTTATACTCATCCTCCCCGTTATGATCTAGTCCGCGTTTTTGGTTGTCGATGTTTTGTTCTTCTGCCATCTCACGAACGTGATAAATTATCTCCCAGAGCTGTTTCTTGTGTTTATTTAGGAATTAGTTCAGAACATCGAGGTTATTGTTGTTATGATCCTGCAACTTGTCGGGTTTATATATCTCGTCATGTTTAGTTCGAAGAGGATTCTCCATATTATTCTGCTTCTGATGACTTTAATTTCCTCCACTCTACTGATCATGCTTCCCCGTCAACTGCACCACCCACATCTTCACCTCAGTTTTCCTTTCGAAATCTCCTTGACATCTCTCCCTCTCCTTCTGTTGACTCTTCCTCACCCGAGCCTTCTCTTACACCATCTAATCCCTATCCCGTGGACACAACTCTCACTCTAAAAAATACTGTTGATCTCCACGAACCTGCGCCAGCATATCCCCGCCCGAGGTTCATCTTGCTCTTCGTCGAGGAAAACGTCCACATGTCATGCCTGTCCGGTATGCTTCGGTTACTTCGTATTCACTTATTTTCATAACTTTCTTACTATCATTCATACTACTATTGAGCCAAAGTCCTTTCAAGAAGCAGTTCAAATTCCAGAGTGGCGATAGGCTATAGCTGAGGAATTTCAAGCCTTTCAGCAAACTCATACCTGGGATGTTGTTCCCTGTCCTCCTGGGATCTCTCTTGTTGGTAGTAAATGGGTTTCATCCTGATGGCACCATTGAACGTCGTAAAGCTCGTTTAGTGGCTCGAGGTTTTACTCAGCAACAATGTATTGATTATGAGGAGACCTTTGCTCCTGTTTCACAGATGCCCAATGTTAGTACTCTCCTTGCGGCCGCTGCTGCTCATCGTTGGCCCTTATACAAGATGGATGTTAAAAATGCTTTTCTTCATGGCTCTTTATCACAGACCGTATATATGCAACCGCGTCCAGTGTCAAATATTTTTCCGGTACATGTATGTCTCCTTCGCCGTGCTGTTTATGGTCTCAAACAAGCACCCCCAGCTTGGTTTGAGTGTTTTCACGATGTCGTGCTCAAAGCGGGTTTTATGGAAAGTCATCAAGATGCTTCTCTGTTTGTTCGCACTACATCGTGTGGCAGAGTTTTATTACTCATCTATGTAGATGATATGATCATTACAGGTGATGATGTGACAGGTATACAATACGCAAAATCTCAGTTGCAACAACAGTTCCACATGAAGGATCTTAGATCTCTTTGATATTTTCTTGGTCTAGAAATTTTTCAAGGCCCGCAAGGTGTACTACTGTCTCAACAGAAGTATCTCTTGGATATTCTAAATCAAGCTGAGCTAAATGACGATGCAACTGTCGATACTTCACTCTAGTAGAATATCAAACTTTGCTCTACCGATGGTGAGCCTCTATCTGATCCTCCCCGATATCGACATCTTATTGGCCAGTTGGTCTATCTGTACATCTCTTGACCAGATATCTCTCATGTTGTTGGCATTGTCAGTCAATTTGTTAGTGTCACACGTTCTGTACACTATGTTGCCTTATTACGGATTCTTCGGTACCTCCGGGGTACTATCACTCGCTCTCTTTTATTTCCTGCTACATCTAAGTTAGAGCTTTGTGCATATTCTGATGTTGATTGGGCTGGTGATCCCACTACCAGAAAGTCTACCACATGTTATTGTATATTTCTTGGTGATTCCCTTATTTCCTGGCGAAGTAAGAAACAAGATGTTATTGCTCTTTCCAGTACTGAGGCAGAGTATCGTGCAATGTCCACAACAGCTAAAGAGATTATTCATCTTCGTCGTCTTTTTAGTGATTTCGGTATTTCTGTTACGACTCATACTCCTCTCTACTGTGACAATAAGAGTGCCGTCCAGATTGATAATAATCCAGTATTTCATGAAAGGACCAAACATATTGAGATCGACGCTCATTTTGTCCGTCATCAAGTTATCAAGAACAAGACAATTCTACTTCCTCATGTCTCATCTGCTGACGAGCTTGCAGATTTCTTCACAAAGGCCTTACCTGTTCATCGGTTCCAGTTTCTTGTACGCAAACTCACTTTGTTTGATCCAACATGAGTTTGAAGGGGGCTGTTGATAATAGTGTATTGTAGTGGGTTTTAGTCTCACATTGCTTGTGATAACACACCTCACCCTTCTCTACTTGTATAAATATATGTGCACACTCAATATTCAACTTAAGAGAAATTTACCCAAGATTCTCTCTCTCTTACTTTAACAATCTCAAAACAAAGTATGAAAATACTAAAGAATGCAGAGCATTAGTTTTTAAAAAAAAGCTAGAGCGTGAAATTTATTGATGGCAAAAAATGATAGCTTTCTACAAACAATGGATATTACAACTGCACTCCATATTGTTTATTCTGTATAAATACCAAAAAAAAAAAGTTGCTATCTGTACTCTTTCACCATGAAGATCCAAAAGGATAGCCAATATGCGTTAGGGAGTTCACATGGTCCCTCCTTTAACCAACCGAAATCTATCTTGCACTTCGGTAGTATTTGAGTTCACAAACTGAAAGTTACAAAGAAAGTGAAAGCTATTAGTCAAAAGAACAAAGGCACAATATATTTGAAAAATTCATAATCTACAATTGTTCCAAATATGCTTAAACTTGTAAGTAATATACATAAGGAAGTTAGCAAGCAAGAACATAAATTGAAGTTTCAAACTGACCTCTGCCAAAATATCTTGTCTGGTTGCGTGCACACGTACATAACCAAATTCAGAAATTCTTACCATGCTCCAATTCTCTGCCTGTAAAAATATGAGCAACCAACTAATGAAACATTTTCATACATATACATGATAAGAGTGATTACAGAGAGCCTCTAAAACTGTTTATGGAGAACCAAATGTTCTGATTTTCAAAATTAAACAATATACACAAGAGTTATAGTAAGTTTTTGGGATGTGATAAGTAACTAAGAGTGCATGAAGAACATTATAATGCATATATATGTTATTTTGCTTCCCTTTGTTGGTATTTAACTAGAGTTTTATGTATTTGAATAAATATTAAGCCACCAGGATAAGTTACTCACATCGTCTGGAAACTCGTCTAATGAAAATCCAGCCATTCCAATAATTGCATGAACCGGTCCAGTATAGTTGTTGTTGTCATAAGTATCAATACCGTCTTTTCCCTTCTTTGGCATTGCTTTACATTCTTTTTGGTAAATGGCACAGGTTCTTTCATAGTTATGAACATGGCCAAACAAAACCAAATCAACCTAAATCAACAAGGAAACAACAAAAATGTCAATAAGAATGTCAATTTAATCACCTCTATTTACCATCCTCAGCATATTAGTGAAGCGTTCAAAATTAGATCAAGTGGATAAAAGTCGAAGTGTAGATCTTTCTTTAATTTGTATGTATAAATAGCATTTAGCAATAATTTGTGGCAAATAAATATTTATATGCTCATGCCAACGAAATAACCAAGACATATTAAAGGTAAAACACATCTCAAATAAATGATATAAGTTATATTAAAGGTAATAGACATGACACATAAATGATACGAGTTTGATTTATTTTCTCACTAGTATACATGGCTGTGTTATACACATTTTAGGGAAATTTTTTTTTTGCAAAAATAGTCAATATAAAACATGTTAATTCCTTCTCAAAGTGAGGGAAACCTTGCAATGGCACCAGCTACATATCACATATTACATGAGCTAATTAAGTTATTAAACACTGTAAAATATTCTAGCACATGCTGTATAACACTAAGGTATTCTAGCATACTGCAAGAAAATATGTCTTTAATGTTCACTATAAGGTTTCATCTAGATCTCATAGAATTTCAAACTTATATAGTATTTCAAATAACCACTTGATGGTGCAAAAACTTCAGGTAAAGGGTACTTGGACAGTACTGCATAAAACAGCTTCATGATCTACTGAAGTCAAATTTGAGAATTGTAATAGCTAGGTTGGTAGTACATCAAGAACAAATATTAATAATTCTTAATATTGAGAATTACCTTGTACTCCATCAAAAGTGGCTCAATGGATTTGACAAACCTTGAATCTGTACTTGGAGGTATACTACTAACGGAAGAGTACATGGGTCTGTGCCTGTGACAATAATGGTTAAGTTATAACTAGTTAAAAGCTAGCAGAAATTAAATCATTTAATGATAAAATGAGAATGATTAATAGGAAATGATAGGATCTCTAATGTATTCAAGTACATTAAAGTAGTAATCCAGAAAATCTATGATCCTATAGAGAAAAAAACATTACGTAGATAACATCTGAGACAAGAGTTGTTGCACACTGAAATTGCTAAATTTAGTAATGTGTCCATTTCTAATTTTTATTATTTATTGTCATCAGCCAAGGCTAGAAAATAAATAGTCATTTTAGAATTCTAAGAGTCAATTTTGTATCTGTCATTAAGAGAATATTTGTGTATAAATAGGATATCCCGCAGGTAAAAGCGCAGAGAACGTAGAAAATTGTAGTTTCCAGTTTCATATCCTCTTGTTATTAACTCAGTATTTGATTTGTCTTTCATCTCCCGCTGTTGTTCTCCTATTACATTGTCATACTGAGTGAACTAGATTAAGTGGAACAGTAATCGGGCCATGAATAATCCGAGTTTGGCTGGTCCAAAACTAATGTGGATTAGTTCACAAGTTGCCAGTGACCCTAATAGTTGGCAAACTGAGTTAAACAGATTAAACGGAAAAATTATTGGTCCAGGAATAGTCCTAGTTTAGCAAAACATAAAGACTGGCAACCAATTTTGATTAGGTTGCGTTTCCGGCTGGTCCAGAACTAATCTGATTTAGTTCTGATCCTGATGCTAGTATTTGTGGGGATTTTATATCTTGTGATGTGATATTCCCCTGTAACAGAAATACACGCGCAAATGATAAAACTCCAGAAGGGATTTTGCCGTCTTACCCCATGAAGATTACCCAAGGCGTTCTTCCTCTATCAACAGACGCCAAGTCCTTTTTGATCCACTCATACTGATTGGATATTAGGGGAAAAATGAGTAATTCTTGATGAGTTTACTAAACCAATTACTCTTGAGGATTCAATATAAAAAAGAAATTTAAAAAGGAAAAAGTACATGATTAAAAGCTGAGGACTTACTTGCTCAGAATTATTAGTCCACTCATGTTCAGTGGAGATGACAGTAAAATGAACGCTCGCTTGTTCAATTGAGTACCATGGCTTATCTTTAGCACTTGTAGGCATTGGGAAATAAGTTTCATAAGCTACTCCACATTCTCCGCCAGAATCTGGTGTTATGTATACTGATCCTGATCCTTCATAATCCCTACAAATTGTTTACATTAAATAACTTAGCTTAATTAGGGTAATTACAAAAAGAAAAAACCCCCTATATTCCTTATTTTCAAAAAAATAAAATAAAATTAAAATTAACTCCCTCATCTAAAAAATTCAACTAAAAAACTAAGATCATTAATGAAACCATTGGTTTTATAGTAGAGTACAGTTGGACAGATGTTAAAGACGTCTCCGTTCGGAATACTTTTTTTCCATTTTAACCAAGACCTATCTGTTCCCTATTTTCTTCCTTTCATCTCTCAAAATTGTGCATGCATAAGTGGAAACATCTGCCCAAGCATCTGAAGATAAAAAATCGATTACAAAACCAAAGATCTCGTTAACGATCATACATGAGGGGATTTTTTTTATCGAACTTTTTTCTGTAAATTTTTATAACAAGTTAAAGATGAAGGGGACTTCTTGTAATTTACTCAAAATTTTACAATATTTCCTTTAACAACAAAACAAAAGAAGTTCTTACCTCTCATGGTTACCTATGGCGGTCATGTAGCTGACATGGCTAGCCAATGGAGTGATCAAACTGAGGAAGTAGTCCCATTCTACCAAGAAACCAGTGGCATAGCTTATGTCCCCAATATGAAAAATTGAATCATACTTCCCTGATGAAATATCTTCGGTCATTGCTCTAATCACTGATAATGATCCAGGCTGTAACATGGCAATGAGTGAAAATAATGGTAACGAAGATTTTTTTTCTCGCTTTCCTCATTACATAATATATTATGTGAATTAAAGGAAACTAGAATGGCCAGGTAAAGAGTATGTGGATGATTCACTTTAACCCCTGAAAACAGAAACATGACTTATTTTACTAAGATTCCAAGAAAAGTATACATGTACACAGACATATATAATTTCAGCGTCCAGAACGCTAATCCTCATTAGTCCAAAATGGAGAGTGTGCATGAGTTCAAGAAGCTTTAGAGAGAAATGCATGTTCAAGTATCTCAAGAGAGAAATGCATATGGATCGATTCAGTTTAAAAACCTTAGAATTAATAAAAGACTAAATGCACTCCAATGAAAATTACGTACATGCAGTTGGATGATGAATTGTATCTTATTTCCTTCTACTGGTACCTCTAAAATGTAGAAACAACATGCTATCCATCATAATAATATAGTTCAAAATTTTGACACTTCTCAGATTCTTCACTGTATTTGATTCTTCCAAAGATATTTTCATGTCTCATGTCATTATTAGGTTTTTTTTTTCTTTGCAAGTTGTCATACAAATTTACCTGGATATAATGCTCTGCAGATGCGTCTAGAGGAGCTTTTCCCATGTCACCATAAGTAAGAAAGTGTAACTCATCAGATCCTGACGCAGGTGGAGTTCTGAACTCAACTTGATCGCTCCAACCGACAGAATCACTGTTCAAAAGGGAGATCTTCATTAGTGAACTATGTTAAAGTCTAATTACATATAACTTATCTGACAGGTGAACATTAACAAGTTCACAAATACTGAGCAACATAACAAAAATCAGTACTCATTAAGCTTACTTATTTTGTTTTTGTTTCTTATTGCATTCTTCCCTTTTAAATTGCCAAGAGCATATATTTTTTCTTTAAGGCCTTTTTAAAAAAAATTAAAGATACAAGGGAAACCTTGGCAAGGCATGAGAATCCCGAGGCCATAGCCCGAGTTTGATCCCCGACCCTTGCCAAGTAAACTCCTGGGTGTGTGGGTGCTACCTCCCATTCCCACACTAAGTTAGGTAGACGGGATCGAACCAAGAACTTAACGGGTTGGCAGTAGTACCAATGCGTCGCCAAGCCACCTGTGCTACCCGTGCTAGGTATAATTTCTATAAGCTAGAATAGCTAGTCATTCATAAAGCAAAAAGGGAAAGTTTTGTAAATATTACATCAATTGAAAGTTGAAATGCAAATCATGTATTAAAAAAAAGTCACATTCTCTATATTCAATAGACCAGAAGCATAAGTTTGGTTGGGCATATATAAATATATAATACTGATATTTAATAAGAAAGTTACCTTCCGTATCTGTACGTGTAGGATTGAGATGGTTGAAGCCCAGACATAATAGCTGAATGAATGTATCCAGGATTATGCCATCCGAAATCCTTTGCTGGACTAGCCAAATCACCACCTACAAAGATTGCGCAAAATAAAGAAGTTCAAACATACAAGAAATAGAGAAAACAAATTCTAGTTTTCGGCAGGCATTTGCAATCTCTCTCCCTCAAAATTTATCTTCAGGAAGAAATAAGCTAAGAAAAATCATTGGCTAGAAATAATCCAATCTTGACAAGAAATTTTAAAATTTGATCAAACCAAAACCTTAAAAAAAAAAGGAAAACAAAAACAAAAAACATAAACTGACACTCACGGGACCCCAAAGAATTAATAGGGACTCACAACCTGACCTGAAACCCAAATAGCTCAGTTAATAGTTTTAGATACTATTCGATCATGTTCGATTCAGTATTTCATTTAACACTAAACAGACAATGCTTAGTATTTGAATTCATAAACGAATAGAATATAACCAAATGTATATTCAATTCTTTCGCTTATTAAATATTTGTTTAAATTTGGTCGCTTATAAATTATACTATTACACGTATATTTTCAATCAATTTGCACTTTTAGTAAGGTTTCATTTACTAACTTTGAGAGACTTAAAAGAATTTTCAATCAATTTTCTAAGAGGTTTCATTTACTAACTTTGAGAGACTTAAAAGAATTTTCAATCAATTTTCAAAAAAAAATGATCAAAATATATATATATATATATATATATATATATAAAATGTATATTCAATTCTTTCGCTTATTAAATATTTGTTTAAATTTGGTCGCTTATAAATTATACTATTACACGTATATTTTCAATCAATTTGCACTTTTAGTAAGGTTTCATTTACTAACTTTGAGAGACTTAAAAGAACCATTCCTGATTTACATTAAGGTGATGGACCGCTCGTTAAGTGCTCTACTAGCACAAGACAATGATAATGGTCACAAGAAGGTAGTTTATTATTTTAGCAGAACATTAGTAGGTGTTGAATCTTGATATCCGATGATTGAGAAGGAGTGCCTTGCCCTGATGTTTGTAATTCAAAAGATGCAATACTATTTGGTTGGACAAACAATTTATGTCATTTCCAATGATAATCCAATTCAGGAGTTCATGACATAACCGACTTCTATGAAATGGCGGTTAGCGAGATGGGCTTTGCTTCTATCACAGTACGATATTCACTTTAAACAACAAAAGTCGGTCAAAGGGCAGACAATTTGTGATCTTCTAGCGGTTCACCCTATAAAAGATAAAGCTGAACTATATGAAGATTTGCCGAATGAAACTCACAAAGTCAATATTACCTCTCATCAATAGGTGTGGCAGCTACATTTTGACGGTGCGTCCCAAGTTACTCATGTGGCAAACACTCCTGGACGTTCAAAGATAACTTCAGGAGTCAGAGTTATCCTAGTTTCCCCAGAGAAACATGTGATACCTCGAGCCTATTCACTGATCGGGCCATACGCTAATAATGTGGCCGAATATAATGCGCTTCTTATTAGACTCAGTTTTGCCAAAGAGCTGGGGGTGGAGTACCTTGAAGACTTTGGTGATTCCTAACTGATAATCTATTAAGTTCGAGGAGAATATAAAGTCAAGAATTAAGACTTGATTCTATATCATAAAGCGGTTGTTGAGATGACGAAATCATTAGAAGACTTCTTCATCAAGTACATCCTGCGCCTCCAAAACAATTACGCAGATGAACTGGCGGCACTAGCAGTCTCTCTAGCACAACCTCCTAAGACGGAATAGTTGGTTACTATGAGAACTCATCAGCTCTTCATACCAGACTGTGCCCTATACATCAAGATGTGGATGCAACTTGAATCGAACTCGAACCTCGAGACTGACACTTCCCTGTTAAGTCTCATGTTTATGAGCCTACTATCTAATCTAGTTTTGATGATTAACAAACAATTACTAACATCGGTTTATCAAGTGTTTTGTATTAGCTTGTTAGGAAATCTACACAAAGATCCTCCTGTTGGAGGTTGGTTGGATTGAGCTTAATGATGATATCTTAGAGGTTGGAGGAATATCAGAATGAAGCTTTACATTTCAAGTCAAGTACAAGTTCAAGCTTCATCCACAACCACGAAAAACTTGAATTTGGTTTGATATTTTGATTTTTTTTTGTTGTTTTGTTTATTATGAATTTTTTCTTGTTCATGTTTCAAATGAAAATTTACCAAATTCTTTCAAATCAAAATTTGTTGTATATCTTCAGATATATATATATATATATATATATATATAATTTGAAAAAAATTCGACCTTAAATTTAAATGCTATTTAAAAATCAAATTCTTTGATAAATTGAATATACTTTAATATTTGATATTTATTTATGAATATTTATCAAATATCAAGTATTTGAGTTGGAATTTGAAGAAAACCAGAGAGAGAGAATATATATATATATATATAATTTGAAAAAAATTCGACCTTAAATTTAAATGCTATTTAAAAATCAAATTCTTTGATAAATTGAATATACTTTAATATTTGATATTTATTTATGAATATTTATCAAATATCAAGTATTTGAGTTGGAATTTGAAGAAAACCAGAGAGAGAGAGAGATTCGAATTCGGATTTGAAAATTTCAAATAAATATAAGTAAAAGCGCATTCAATTCCATTCGTTTCCACCCCTACTCCAAACTCACCCAAAAAAGCTCGTGTTTTCCTGCTTCAGTGGAAACCCCAAATCCATCCGCTATGATTAAATGTTTCAGAGAGATCACAGCCCAATCGCTAACCTCGACGGCGTGTGATCAAGCAAAGCTTGGAAAGGGGTAAGAGGGGCTCTCTCGGGTTACCCGTTTACCCATAAAAATGGGGTTTAAACTTTAAACGGGTCATTTAGGGCGCACATTATAATCCGATAAACAAATGGAGGATTAATTGTATGTTAGTCCCTTATATCATCCTAATTAAATTGCACATTTGTCCCTCAAACCAAGTATTTGCTCATTAGTCCCTAAAATATTCATTTTTCGTGCAATTTCGTCCTTGTGTTTGAATTACTATTAGTTTTCCTAACTCTAGATGGGTTAACTTTGTTGGTATAAACCCATTGAGAAACGGATTGATCAAGTGTTAATGAGAGTGATAATTATGAGTGAGGGTCTAATGGAGAAACTACTACACTCCGTTCAAGTAGACAGAATTTCACCCTTATATATCACATTACCTAACAAGAGGGACGAAATTGCATCACAAATGAAGATTTGAAGGGCTAATGAGCAAATACTGAAATTTAAAGGACTAATTTGTAATTAAGGATACAATTAAGGATGAAGGGGCCAATATGCAATTAGAATGTAAATGAATAGTTTGGGTCGACCCCTTTCTGATGCAAACTCCTATACCTTGACCCGCACCCATTAGTAACAGGTCGGATCGGATCAAAATTTGCATCCATCAAAACCAGATAAACACCTAATAATTGTGAAATAGACATAATAAAAGATAAAATCTCAACAAAAATAAAGGTCTACTGGTATTCATGACCCAAAAGTTCTCTCCGAAGGGAGGATAAATAAAATAAAAAGAAAACAAATTTCTAAGCAACAAAAATAAAGGTCTAATACTAGTATTCATGACCCAAAAGTTCTCTCCAAAGAGGGGGTAAATAAAAGAAAAAGAAAAGAAATTTCTACGTGTTTATGAGGAATAACTTACTGCACATATCATCTTGCGTAAATGTTGTAACATTAGAAGTTGCAAATTTTTGATTTCCATATTGAACTTGTTGTGGGCTTTCGTCGCCGCTAACCCATGTCAGTCTCATCTAAAAGTACATCAAAAAAACAAAGAAAAGATTATCGTCACATTCGATTTAGAATTTGACAGCTTTTAGGGCGTGTTTGATAGCTCCCTAAAACCGGGCTATGTTTGAACCTAGTCTCATTTTATAGTATAGTGATTTGTTAATTGGTAAAAACAGCGCTAGAAGCGGCCCAGTTTACTTTAGTTCAATTTTGGGAATCTAAATTGGTTTAGTTGAGGAATGGAGGTAGTTAGTCCACAACTAAATCAGTTCAGCCCAGAACCAGTTTATGGATCACATGTGGTCCAATTTACATGAGTTGCCAAATACACTGTGTTTGGCAATCTGGAATCACCTAAAAACTGCGTCAGCTACAATCATGGCCTTGTTTTAAACTAAACCAGTTCTATTTCGGACTGGGGTTAGTCCAAAACAAAAACCAGTTTTAAAAGCCCATATTTGGTCTTAGAAAAACTAGGCCAATTTTAACCTAGTGTTATCCAAACCCATTTTCCCCAAGAATGTGACCAGAATTAGGCCCGACCCTATTTTGAGAAGTTGCCAAACACACCCTTAAATTTGAATACTGAAACATTAAAAAGGCTGAAATATTTACCGATGTTGCTGTTGAATCAATACTCGACATGTGACCGTACAATGGCATCGAAGGATTAGCGAAGCTAATAGGATCCGATCTTTTCAAAATACAAGGTGTAGAAAAGCCACCAGTGAAGAGCACAAACTCCACGTCTGTTCTGAAGTTAACTATGTGAAATGTTACTGATCCATTGCATGTTTGCACTCCACAGTCATCATCTCCCTGCAGTCTACATTCATTTTTCTTGCAGCCTAAGTAAGACGGATCATTCTTCAGGTGTTGGGCCTGCATTCCACAAGAAAGGTACGTACTGTTACTTGTCTACTCCGAATAGTGCTTGCGTTTAAAAGAGAAAGATCTTGTGGAGTTAATAATAGGTTTTTCACATGACAATGATGTAATAATTTTACTAACTAAAATTAGTTAATAACAACCTCTTGTACACCAACGTGGCACACATACAGATTGCTCTTGAACATTGATGCCCAGATGATAACTAATGGTTTAGATATATGCTAATTACATCAACTGCACACTAACTAAGAGTATGAAGAAACATGACGTTAATACCAAATTACTTATATGGTGTGTCTCGTGTTGTTGGTTGTTGCGGGCACTAATGTGGTCACGTTGAGATAACTACAGTCTGATCATCAGCATCCAACCAACCATAGCTAATGATCGGATATATGTCATATCAGCAATATACTAGCCAATAGTATCAAGGGACAAACCGCTGCATATTTAATGTTCAGCCTTGAAATGATTGGGCCTGTGTTTAAGTTCTTTCTAAACCTAAACTAGAGTCACAAAACTACTTAAAAACGCGTAGCCAGAATTGTACTGGCATACAAATGCAAACAAATTAAAGCAAATAAAATGTTTAAAGCCCAGTATATGGCCATCAAATAAATACTATCGGCTGTAAGTTTTATTAATTAACATATATTTTTGCTCCAATGAAAAAAACAATAACATAAGAAATATTCGAGTCACCTTGACAGGATAGTGGCAGAGAAGAGGCAGATTACTAAGATCTCCGGTTTGAATATAGTAAAATCCATTCAGTATACAATCTTTAGCACTGTTGTTGCGCAAATCAAATTTCAGTAACCCGAAGCTTGAACAAAACAGCTGAAATGACATGTGTACGTACCTCGATTTAGAAGGCGATATCATCGCAATCCAATCAGATTCATCAGGATCAAGAACTCCGCTGACTGTGACCGTAACATTTGCTTCATTTGGTAACGGAGAATTTGTGCTGATATCGAGCGCTAGGTATGGATTTGGATCGTCACAATTAGCCAAAAACCTCCTGTTGATAACCCTGAAATCCGATATCCTGGTGTGATTTCTCAACTTATCGTCTATTGGACCTCCGAGCAAAGGAGAAGAAGAACATGAAGAAGAAATGAGTAGAAACAAAGGAACAGAGAGTAGTAGCCTATGAGTGTTTGAAATTGCCATGATGAAGAACTCTAGCTAAGGTTTCTGTTTCTTTGGGACAAAATTTGGTGGTTTATATAGAAATCTGAACAATTTCTAAGCATAAAGAACATGCGAGAGATTCTTGGACGTGAATTTGGTCATGATTTAATTTGTGATAAGGAGAGGTATAGAGACGTTCATGAATGCAAAATGTGTGGCATGTATTTTTTACTAGGTGACGGGTAGAGAAAGGAATGTAATTAGGTAATAAGGAATTTAGTTATGTATGCATATAAGGAATGTAACATATATGATAAAATAAGATAAGCTTGATGACTGATATCTATATATATATAGTATCAATTGAGTGAATTATTCAAGGATTTGCGTGTATGTTTTGACTTGGCATATCTTTTTGATCCAGTCAGATTCATTGGGAAGAGCTACTACAATTTCAAACTTCATGCCTAAACTCAAGTCTGATGGAGACCAAAAATGTTTGAAATCTAGAAGTCCATCCATCTTGTTTGATATATTCAAAAAATAAAAGTAAAACTAAAGGAACACTTTGTTGGAATTTTCTGTTGCATATTTACAGCTGCAGAGTTTGACGAATGCAATCCTCTGTCCATGAGCGAAATAAGCAACGGGTCAAATTTTATAGTTAGTTTTCATAGTCGACGAATTAATTACTGCTACTGGACTCTCTAAATTGTCAATAGCAGAGGTGATAGGGTGTATCAAATATAAGTCATACCCCAAAATTATGGAACTTCCGTGAATGTTGAACCCACAAAAAGAAAAATTCCTTTTTTTGATTCCGCAATTTTCCTATCAATTTAAATTTGACGCATGTGAAGAGAACAGAATATGATGATAAAGCTTATAATTTTTATCAGTTATTCAACTCAATATCCATCACAAGGAGAAATGATTCATACAGTTTATATAATAGTATGAAAATTCTGAAGTTTTTCTTCCACAGATACATAAATAAGTTAAATGTAATTTTTGGGTATAACCTAGCATCTCATTTCCATAAATGAGTTATTAAAAATTGAGTTGCAATTAGGCCCATATATTTCTAGTCACATTAAAACATATAGATCTTATTAGAATTTTTACGATTTTTTATATTATCTTGTCATGTAGAAAATTTTACTCTAAATCGTTTGTAGTTTGCACACGGAGCTTACCTTCCACATTGTGGAGACCTTTAAAAGTGTTACTAATCCGCACATCATAGTCCTAGGTTAGAAAATTCATATTCGTCCTCTTCTAGTTAAAAGAGATTAAAATAGTACGTGATATAATTCAATACCAAAGTTTTAACGGAAGTGAGAGATAACAACCATGACACCCATATTGATGGTGAAAGGAAACATTGATGATGGTCTCCAAATGTCAAGGCTTACATGGGAACATCGCGTAATGCGTTGTGCTTTGTCAGCTAGAGGTCAAATTGTGGCCAATGCATTTAGGGACCATTCCTGTGATAATTTATTTTTATTTTTATTTTTATTTTATTTTTGTCTCTTCCATTCATTGATGCTTCAAGATCTTTCCTTCATCTATCATGTGAGTGTGAAATGTGAATCCCTACGCTTTCGCGTGGTGGTCTTGGCTATTGGGGATGCGTGGTTGTGTGGCTCACAAAGTTGATGAGGATCATCCCTTTCAGTGTGTTAGGAGTTTGTCATGTGAATGATACCCTATGCTAACGAGACAAACCACAGTTCGCATACATTTGCAAACCATTTATGTGGAGAGGCAAACAACAGGACAAGAACATGAGAAAGTCAAACAGGAGACACACTGAATATAACGAGGTTCACACTAAAATTTTTATGTTGCAAGCATTGTGAAGTTTGTGTTGGATCTAAGATACAAGCCTAGAGGGGGTGGATCAGATTACCTATTGTTTTCCGAGATATCACAGAATATGCAAGGGAAATAAAACAATAATAATAAAACAATATACAATGCAATAATCACATAAATAATCACAACCAGAACACTCGAGATTTTATAGTAGTTCGGATAAATAATCCTACTCCACTCTTCCTTCTCGCGAAGGAACTTCCTCACCATGTGAAAGTTCTCTTGAATTACAAACCTAATTCAGTAGGCTAAGATCGAAACCTGTGACGCCCCTGGTTTTAACAAGGCTGCAGTCCAAGGTGAAACCAAGAATGTCAAACCTGTCATGCACTACACCGTGCTTTAACACGTTTCACCATCACAATTACTATCTATCTAGTAAAATCAACAACAGGTGTAGGTACAAAACAGGAAAGAGAGAATATACAAAAGAAATACTAAACAACAGATATTCTGAAGAAAAATCATCACCACTGATATGAATGGATAAATCTCTGAGAAGAAAACATCTGAACTGATACAACTGTCTCACAATAGGAATTCAAATGAAATGACATTAAGGCACATCGCATTTACAAAACTAAAATGATAACTCAAATGTTCATAAACACATAGACTGTGGAGTTCTGACATAACTATTAATAATATAGATAAATAACTACTAGAGTAGCTTCATCAACCTACGGCTCTCCGTGCACCTGGCTCGTTACCTGAAAGGGGGGAAACAACGAGCGTCAAAGTGCTATAGCGAGTAACATCTCAATCAACCTTAGGGAGAAGGGCTAAAAGGATAAGAAACTAGCTGCTAATACATATAGATAAACAATCATCTACTCTAAAATAAATGGAGATTTGATATTAAGAAATTTACAGCACGAGCATGGTACGTCGAGCGAAATAATCCAAACAAGGAAACCCTCATGTATATACCATATGTCTCAAGTTTGTAAATCCCTAAATACCAAATCCAAAGGCTACAGTATGGAGCAATAATGAAAGACAACTCCTATAAATACCAAATCCAAAACATACAGTGTGGAGCAATAATGAAAGACAGCTCCATCTCTAATCATACTATCAATAACCTGATATAAGTCAAAAATATATGCCCGACTCGTGGGCTGCAATAGATAAAGGTCCAACACATGAACGACAATAGCTTAAAAATATAAACTAACACAAGGGTAAACAATATGAACTAGATAGTGGATCATATAAATGATGAGCTAATGACAATGGCAACAAGAATTATAAACACAAGTATAAATAAACGCCAAAGCACACTCAAACACAAGATATGATCACGGAGTTCGGACCTTCCGTCCTACGTCTCCGCTCCCCACTCCCGGGGAGAAATCCACTATCAACCGGGTTTTCTACGTTCACCCGAATAACGTTTACACCTCACAGTATCGGTTTTCAACGCTCACCGATCAACGTCACTCCTCACACTCGGTTTCTAGCTCACCGAAAACCTCACTACACACTCGGTTTCTAGCTCACCGAAAACCTTACAACACTCACAATGTAACAAATATAAATTTGTTCTCTACAATAGATGAGAACACAATGAAAGCACAACTCAAAGTTACAATCTCTCACCACCCAACTATACTATGTATGAAAGATACAATAAGCTCAATGTGGGTGTGTGTAACAGTGAGATTCAATAAAACTTAACTCAATAAGAACTAGCAATAAAAATTGATATGAAATTCAATAGTAAAAATGCTAGGAAATAGAGTTAAGGAAACTTCTCTATAAACACAAAGAGAGGATGATGAAATGTTGAAGATGAACTCTTCAATAGCTGATTGTAAACTCCTCTTTGTAACAGCAAACCAAAACAAACTTAAACCAAACAAAAACAAGCTTAAACCCTTGTTTAAAACCCCTTGTTTAAAACTTCTTAAAACATTCTCTTTTTTTTAGAATTGAATGCAATAGAGGTATATATAGCCTCCCAAGAATTCAGCCAAAAATCCAAACAAAATGACCAAAAGGCCCAAAACAGAAGTTCTGCAACGGCTAGAAAAATAGCCGTTGGGAGACCTGACAACGATTCGGTCGACCGAAAAAATGATTCGGTGGACCGACCCGAAAATCCGGTCGACCGCGAACAACCTTGAAAATCCAGAAAACAAGCGGAGCCATCATCGGTCGACCGGCGCGGTCGACCGATATAGAAATCGAAATTTTGGTCGACCGTACCGGTCGACCGACGACTCTCTGGAAAACTACTGAGAATTGATCATTTGACCGGTCGATCGTACTGGTCGACCGAAAACTGACATCCCAGAAAAACAAAGCTGATTTTAAAACACTGTTTAAAAATATCAAATAAATTCAGAAAAATGTAAAACTTTGGGGAATGATTGTAGACATGATAATACACATGCTACAAAAACTGGTTTTCTAAAAAGACTTCCCAAATGAGAAATATCATCATTTTGCAAAATAGTCCAAAACATGAAAATGTAAACATATGAATCTTGACATTTTAGCTTAACCATGTTTTGAAACATTACAAAATGATTTTGTAGACTTAATAAAAGATGTATATGATTATTGTTAAGTCTATAAACCAAGGAAACAATATTTTCACAAATACAATAGAAAGTAAAACGTATGAGTATGTATATGAAAATATATTTGTTTCATATCTATGAAATTAAACCAAAACAACTTATCCACATAGAAGACAAGCATGTATACATAATTTTTGGAATTTATTTGTAAAAAAACTTTGTTTGTAAAAACTTTGTTTGTGGATAAAACTAAAAACCAAGATGTATATGTATATAACTATATATATGTATATACTAAGAAACTAATAAATGTGTGTGTGAATATAATATTGAGCTTAGAGTATATAACACACATAATATAAACCTATACTAAATATACCCAAGCTTGATCTTGATCTTCATTGAAGCTCAACTTGGTACACATGCGGATGAAGCTTGAACTTGATCTTTAACTTTGAATTTGCAAGGCTTCACCGACATACCGCCAACCTCCATTGGATATCATCGTTGAAGTGCTATTCCATCCATCCTCCAACAACGTTGTTTGTCTACAAAACATAGGAATGCACAACACTAGACAAACAACATTAGTAATAAATTGTTTGTTAAACATCATCAAAACAAGAAGGCCAACAAAAAGGTCCAACACGAGGACTGTAGTGGATTATAGTCCAACACGAGGACTTTAATAGCTTATAGTCCAACACGAGGACTTCAATAGATTATAGTCCAACACGAGGACTTCAATAGTTTATAGTCCAACACGAGAACTTCAATAGTTT